CCTACTGTTTAACATACGTACGGACGGCTACCACCGGACCCGAAGTGCTCGTCACCCGGAGCTCATTGCCCGTCCATTCGTACACTACTTTCAATTGTTTCTCTCCCTCTTCTATGGTTTGGTTTCTCTATTATAATGCTATCAAATGTTTTGCACAAATGTTTCATTTATTATTCAAACAAAATTCAAATCAATAGATATTTTATTCAATTGAAGAGAAAAGCATTTGAGAAGAAAATCAGACCACAAATTAACCGATCGATCACAACATTTCCATCAATCCCGTTATAAATGATGATTAGCTATAAATTATAGCTTATAATTAATGTCGTGGACTTAGCTAGATTTATTTATCAAATTACAAGGAGAATTAAAAACCAAAATTTACACAATTGAACTTTTTTACACTTTATATATAATTTAAACTAATCTAAAAATCATTTCAATGTTTGTTAAGGACTGTAAATGTTAATCAATGTAAAATGTAGTAATTGTTAATATTAACTCAACTTATTTTAACAGTTAGCTAATCCTTAAAGTTAACATTAGATTTAGAAGTTGTGTATATTTAATGTTCTTGAGCAAAAGTTTACAGTTTTTTGTCTACAGTACATTTGTAATATTAAATTAATTTGTTTATTTTACTATAATATATTAATTGCAATTTATTGTTACTATTTTTGATTAATTATTGAGAATACATTCAAAACTATAAACATATTTGTAGATTCAATTAATTTTGAATATATACAGTAATTAATATTACAAATGTGGACAAAAAACTGTAAACTTATGCTCAAAAACAATAAATATACACAACTTCTAAATTTAATGTTAACCTTATGGGGTATGCCAGAGAAAGTCATATATATTTTATCACATTAACATTAATACAGTTATGATATCAATTTAATTTATATTTAATTAATTTAAAAATAATGTCAAATAGGTCATCATTTTTCAAATGTATTAAATGTACATGTGTAGTAATTAACAATTTATCATCAGTCAATGTTACAATAATATTGTAATTAGTAAATACAACTAATTATTTAATTAACTCATATAATTTTTGTACATAAATCCAATGAATTATTATAGTCATTTACATACAATCTGCTATTGGTGTACAGTATACCTTGTAGGTGTACTGATTGTTTATGCATGTTTAGTGCATTATGTATAAAAATAATTAAATAAAAAATACATAATTTAATCTAACGAAATATTGTAATATTTGTAACTTACAATTTCACTATAAATCAAAATTGTTTGTAGATAGTACATCATTTATTATTCAGATAATGAGTAATAATGACATTACTATATTTTTTATGAGATAATTTACATGATAACATTTACACTAGTTTTGCACTAAACATATAAAATTCAATTAAGTTTATTATATTCTCGACCCGATGTCTAAATTACATTAAAATAAACAAATTTTCTGCCAATAAGTATATAAGCCGTGTGTTAAACAGTAGTCAAACAATCATCACTTTACAGTTAAATAAATACTTTTAACAAAGTTTTATTAAATACTACAGTCTATCATCGATAAAATGGCCGAAACTAAAAAATTCTTACAAACTTCGTCCAACAATTTTGACCAGCTATTAAAGCATCTTGGTACGCGATAAATAATTCATGTTAATCAAAAATTATATAAAATATAATTAAATATTTTAATCACATCGATAAATTAATTGTGGGAAAACAACCATAACAGGTGTTGCCGATGATGTTGTGGCAAAAATTACTGCCGGTACAAATACGATCGAGGTTACTAAAAATGGTGATGACATCACACTTAAGTCGACTACTGGCGACCACGCGCGCGAGACAAAGTTTACTATTGGTAAAAAATACACCGAGACTTGGAATGGCCAGGAATTACCGGTAAATAATAGTTAACTAGAAATTAGACTAGAACTATTAAACTAGAAATTAGACTAGAACTATTAAACTAGAAATTAGACTAGAACTATTAAACTAGAAATTAATTTATTATAAATGTTTTTTGTATTGTAAAAAATATTTATTTTTTAATTTTTAGTCATGATTGGATCAATTATCACATATGTGTATTTTACTTCTATTAGATTAGTTTAAAATTATAAAAATGTAATTATTTTTGATAACATTAGGCGTTGGCTGTGAAGGAAGACAATCGTCTCACTCATACCATAGGAGAGGGAGAGAAACAATTGAAAGTAGTGTACGAATGGACGGGCAATGAGCTCCGGGTGACGAGCACTTCGGGTCCGGTGGTAGCCGTCCGTACGTATGTTAAACAGTAGGCAACCGTTTATTTGGACAAATATAAGCTTATATTTTGATAATTATATTTAAAAGTAATATTTAAGTTTGAAAATTATGTTATATAATTGCAATAATTTTTACTAACGATGTAATGATCTAATGTTATGTTATTTAATTAAAATAAATTGCACACTTTTATTTTGACAATTATTTTGACAAATATAATTTTATATTATTATTACATAGACTCACACAGCATGTGTTTAAAAAATCAACAAGTTCAATTAATTAATATGGATTATACTAGTGAAAACATAATAAAATATACAGTTATATATTAATAATAAAACAACCATTAAAATAAATAGTAATTGTAAAACTCTAACTTGTAGATTTTATAGCCGGTGCCAACAACTATGCCATACAGACATGTAATAAACAAAATCATTATTGCATTACATTTTAAAACAAAATACAACTGGTTATTTATTATTTAAATAACAACTAGATTTATTATTGATGTTGATCTTTAATTAAAGTAGTGTCGTCACATATATTAAAACAACTATTATAATGAATAATATATAATTTTGATTTTACATAGTTGTCATGTAATTTTATAACATGTACATTTGTATGTTTGACATTTTCTCTCAAATCAAACTGAATATAATGTATCGCTTATTAGTTAAATATATTGGTTTTAATTCAAAATTATTTTATCACATTTATTTTACGTGTTGTGTAACAGTATGTTTGTATCAAATTATCATAATTTGCAACATTTATTTTTCATACAAAACTATAACAACCATTAATTACGATAACTTTAACACTATATCATTGCCGGCAATTACTATATGTGTTGACAAAATTGATGTCTTAAAAGATGAATACATAAAACAATTGAATATCAGTATAAATAATGACAATAGAAATGAATTGATACAAAAAGTGGAAATGTTTTACGCGACCCATACGATTAGAGACCAGTTTCTTATGTCATATAATTATAATGACATTTTCAATTCATGTTGTGTTTTGCCACCAAAAATATATGAAAAAAATAACATTGAATGTGAAAACATTAGTAAAATTTTGCCATCAATTGACCACAACCAGTATATAAAATTTAATCTCTCTCTCTCTCTCTCTCTCTCTCTCTCTCTCTCTCGCTCTCTCTGGCATTAAATAACTAATGTATAATTTATCTCAGATTCTGCTATACATTCATACATCAGGAGAAAAACATGTCGGATAACAACTTCATCATAAATAACGACGTTAAGTATTATGACTATTATGTAGAGCTCTATGCTGTACAACGCGTACGAAAAAACATCACTTTTTACCTAACAATACATCCGAGAAAACAATTAATGCTAAGCCGTTGGGAAAACAAATTTACTAATTTTCCAATCAATACACCGTTAAATCATTATTATGTAACGTATCATAAAATTGCGGTCAATTTGCTGAAAGCCCCGTACGAGACAAACTGCTTAGATTACACCTCCAGGAACTATACAAACCTAATCGATTGTATTAACAAATGTAAACTAGATCTATTTGCTCAGGAATGGTTGGGACAAGATTTATGGCCCGGTTATTACATGGCTTACAACACAGAATCCATGCAAACAATGGTTGATATGAATGAATATTATGAACGCAATGAGAGTTTGGACTATATATTGGGCGACAAATGTAAACAACATTGCGGTAATGCCAGGGAATGTTTGTGGGAATATTATGGCATTGAAATTAGCAAGAGTACTGGGCAAATATACGAGGATAAATTGTTTTTGTTTGTCCCGACAACACCCGACCTAATCCATAGCCATTCGCCGCAAATACTGTTTGAAGAGTTTGTCTCATATATTGCTTCGTATATCAGTCTATGGTTTGGTTTCTCTATTATAATGCTATCAAATATTTTGCACAAATGTTTGATTTATTTTCAACAAAACTTTATTTATTATTCAAACAAAATTCATATCAAAAGATGTTTTATTCAATTGAAGAGAAAAGCATTTCAGAAGAAAATCATACCACAAACTCACCGATCGATCGCAACCTTTCCATCAATCTCTTTATAAATGATGATTAAATATTATTTGATTTGATCTTTTGAAAATATTATTTGAAAAACAAAACTTGATAGAATTATGTTGTCTAATTAAGCATTTAAAAATTATTTTAATGTTTGTTAAAGACTTGCTATATGTAATGTAGCTTTAATGTAGTAGATTTATAATTTGGCAATTGTTAATATTAATGTAACGTATATCAATAACGTAAAATAATGTTGATTTTGCATGTTTAATGCATAAAGTTGTGTATTCTAAGTGTATTTAAACACGATGGAATCATATTTAAGTTTAATTCATTACAAAATTAATTTTATTAAAATGGAAATTAGTAAATTTTTGAATTATCATCACTATTAAACAAATACTAATAAATCATCAGAGTAGTTTGTACACTCTGCACAGTACATTAACTATTCATGCATGTTTAGTACATTATGATGTGATGAATAAATGCAACACAATTATTTTGTCTATAATTAATGTTTTATATTCCATACATGCTCTTAATAATTGCATTCTTATATAATTAAATTGTTTCAAAGTTTTAGAAACTTGTATTAATTAAGTTTACCTAAATTATAATTTATAATTAATGTTAAAAACAGATTGAATGTAAACTCCAAACTAACTACACGTATAACTTGTGATCTAACTCTGAATTGAATTGTTTTTATTAAATATAATTGTTTTATATTTTGATTTTGTGTTAAACATTTTTTGCTGATAAATAAAGTTAGATACCAGAAACACCACGAGGTATAATAATGATTACATAACAAACATATAATTTAATCTAAAATCTATTTGTAACTTTTAATTTCACCATAAATCAAAATTATTTTGAAGATATGTAAAATACCACAAAAATATGTAAAGTCAACGCTTTAGTTATCATTGATAACATTGATTATTTATCCAATCTAATTAAAAGTTACTATTAAAAAGTATACTGCTATTGTACGGTGTACTAACTATTTATGCATGTTTAGTGCATTAGGTATAAAATTAATTACATAATAAACATATAATATAATCTGACAATATATTTGTAACTTTTAATTAGACCATAAATCAAAATTGTTTTGAAGATATTAGATTCTATATTATTCAGATAATGAGTAATAATGACATTACTATATTTTTAGTGCTATATTTATACATGATAACATTTACACTAGTTTTGCACTAAACATATAAATTCAATCAAGTTTATTATATTCTCGACCCGATGTCTAAATTACATTAATATAAACAAATTGTCTGTCAATTAGTATATAAACCGTGTGTTAAACAGTAGTCAAACAACTCGGAACTTCACAGTTAAATAATTACTTTTTTACAAAGTTTTATTTTAAAAACTACAGCCTATCACCGATAAAATGTCCGAAAGAAAAGGAGGAAAATACTTGCAAACCTCGTCCAACAACGTTGAGGAGCTATTAAAACATCTCGGTATGTGACAAACTATACATGATCAAAAATATAATTATATATTTAAATTTTTAATTAACCACGTACATTCTCTGTCACAATAAATATTACAGGATTGGGTGACGATATCATAGCTAGAGTGACCAGTGGTACCAATACACTCGAGTTTGCCAAAGAAGGTGAAGAGGTGACTATTAAGTCCACTACTGGCGATCACGTGCGAGAGACCAAGTTTAAGATTGGTGAAAAATACACCGAGACAATTAATGGTCGCCAAGTGCCGGTAAATTATACATTTTTAATACTACCATGAACTAATTCTGTGTAGTAAATTGAATTAATGGTGCTTAAATTATCATTCAACATAATATTGTTAATTACTAAAGTTTATAATTTTGCGCCAATATTGAGTTAAGGTTAATTTATATATTAAATAGATTTCAGTGTAGTTTTACCTAGATTATTTTACGTATAATAAATTAAAATGTCAATTGTTTTGCGGTCTCATAGGCTGTGGCTGTGAAGGAAGCGGACAATCGTGTGATTCACACCATAGGAGAGGGAGAGAAACAATTGAAGGTTGTCTACGAGTGGAACGGCAACGAACTCCGGGTGACGTCCACTTCGGGTCCGGTTGTGGCCGTCCGTACGTACGCTAAACAATAAGCAATTGACCGGTCATTAGACCCAATAATGAACATGTTATTTTTAAGTCTCAAAAGTAATTTGATGATACAAGTTACTTAACTTTGTTAAAATAACAAATGTGATTATTATAATTTTTTAACAACATTATAAAAAATTTTGTTTATTTTAGTTACACTAAATAAAAAATGACTTTAAAAATTAATTTTATCTTATTTATATAAATATAATTCTACTAATAAATAATATTATATTATAATCTCAATGAATGATGTACAATAATAGACTGTCCATATCTTAATTGGAAAACACAATCAACACTTGATAAATAATTGATTTTAATTTAATTACATGTTGGTGTTTATGAATTTATATTGATAAACTAGTATCACTTTACTACTAGTCTTAAACTAATAATCTAGAAATTAATTTATAATATCGCTAAACACAGGCATAGCTATCATCGGTCGGCCACAGTATATGCTTTTGGTGACCGTATTATTGCCGCCGTGTGTTAGCACCAGATCTACGAGCGGTAAGACTCGGAGCCGCTGTACAGACGCCTTGCCATTAATTATTGCTATTTATTGAGTTGATAAAACATCAATGTTTAAAATACACCTTTATTTGCATAAAAAACAGGTGTTTAAATTGTATTGAAATGAAAATTGCATTTTATATTGAATTTTCGGTTTAGTGTATAAAATACATGTAGTCTTTTGGTGTACAAAATACTTTTTTTAAATATAAATTATGACGGATTTTACGGGTAATTACAAGCAGACATCCATCCATAAAATAGATGCTTTGCTTAAATATCGAGGTAATTATTTAATGCTATGACTATTTAATATTTATAATGATTAATAATTAGTTATTAAATAATCAATAATTAAAGTTTACATAATAAAATCTGGAATTATTGCAATTATGACCGTATTTCTCGGCAGGAGCTGCCGACGATGTAATCGCTCGGATCACGTCTACAACAGAGGAATTGGTGTTCACCAAATCGGGCAACGGTTACACCATTCAGATCAGTCGTGCCGACCATACCAGGGAAATAAAGTTTGAATTTGGCATCGAGTTCACCGAGACGTACCCAAACGGGCGTACCGTTCAGGTAATTTTGTAAACTAAATACATTGTACCTAAAGGGTATTTACATAGAGCTGTGAGTTATTATCATATTTAATAATATGTATCACATTTACAGTCAGTCTTTATCGCCGACGGTAATCGTCTCGTTAGGGCTGTAAAGGGAGACAAACCAATGACTACTGTATACGAGTTGATAGACAATGAGCTCCGGGTTACGAGTACATCGGGTCCGGTTGTAGCCGTCCGTACGTACGCTAAACAGTAGGGGTTTTACGTGTCAATTGGTACCAAGTTGGTACTACCAACATTAATTATCTTTAATTATATAACAATGATGTATTACAAAATATTATCTATAAAATTCTAGTATTTATAATACTTGGCTAAACTGTTATTGTATTTGATATAATATTGAATTTGTTATTTATAAAATTTAAATCATTAAATTATTAAAATTATTATATTGTGACGGTTCTTGTGTTGAGGTTAGGTGTTCAGAGAGGGCGCGCGCTATGAATGAATGTGTTTCGACTTTGAGGATTGATATCTCGAAAACTATGTCTGGAAAGTTCTCGAAAATGGGTGAATCGAAAGATTATGATGAGGAAATGCTATGCTGTGATGGAAAACTTTGGGATATTGTCTGGAGCTGATCCAGTGGACAAAGTATCGGTGAATGGGATGTGAGTGTAGAGGTGTGAGCGCGCGAGTGTGTGATGGGGAACACCAGATGGGGAGACGAACCGTACGGAACGGTAGTTGTGGGACCAGAATCAAGGGACGATCGGGTCTTACCGTCGGGTGAAGTGTATGTGTGAGTTGAATCGGGTGGGTATGCAGTGAATGAATGGCTGTGAATGCTATGAATGGCTGCTATTGATTGATTGGTGACTGAATGTATGTATGAATGAATGGACTTATGGATGGGTTTATGGACGGTCGGGTGAAGAGTGGGTAAAGTGAGACAGTATGAGACCTCGGGTCACGTGCTTATCAAAAGCAGGACTCTCTCGGGTAGAATGAAGAATGAAAGTGAGTGAATGAAAGACCGTGTTTGTGGGTGAAATTCAACTGAGTGTTTTATTGGTTTGCATGAATGGTATCTTAATACAGAATATATTGTGGTGTGTGAGTGTATAAGTATTAAGTTTACATGTTGTGAATGAGTGGATAGGGTTTTCCCTATGAAAATGGTATGTATTGATAAGTATTTGTTTGTACAATGATTATATGTGTTAATTATGGATTCTAATTAATGTTATATATGGTTATGAATTAAAAAAAACATGATGTGATGGATGTCTTGAATGTGTGATGACATGTGTTGAAATGTGGCAAATTCTGCGAATTTGAGCTGATGTGGTGTTGGTTAACACATAGGTGTGAACTTTGTGTGAGTTTGGAGTTCTGAGAATTGAATGCATGAATGATAATGTGAAGGAAAGTGTGGTAAATTATTCCTCGATGTCTTTGTATGGATGTGTTGTAGTTATGTATGTAAAATCCCTCTCAATATAATTAAAATTTATACAATAGGAAAATATAAAATATTTCATATAATTAAATTATAATTACCAACTGCAATTAATGTTTTATTTTCTATTTTTATTATTTATAAAACTATTCCATACATCTAATCAGAATAATAAAATTATTTAGGCATGATTAAGTAAATGCCGTGAAATAATAGGCACATTGTATATGATACTTCACGGTAAAAGTAATACAAGTGTATACTGTATATTAATAAAGTAATTAAAATACTAAATAGATAAAATTTAGTATCTATAGTAAAGTGCAATATATTTTATGAGAATATTACAATGCAATTATTGTCTACCGATATGTTTTACGTGTCATTTTTACGTCTAAAGTAAAGGGCAGACATTTAAATTTATTTGATTTGCATATAAAAACTGTGTGTATAGTGCATTGAAATGAAAATTATATTTTTATTTTTATTTAATTTGTTATTTTTGTTAATAAAATAAATTATGACTGACTTTACCGGCAAATACAAGCAGACATCCAGCGATAATCTGGAGGCTCTACTCAAACATCAAGGTATTATAGATTGTTAATAATTTTTTTGATTTAATTTATATATTAGTTATTATTAGTAAAATTAAAAACTACATAAATTGAAATAAATATTATAATTTATAATTGTTAAAATTCTGATTTTATTAATACCGTATTTTCTCGCAGGAGTTGCCGATGATATGATCGCACGGATCACGTCCGAGACACAGGAACTGGTATTTACCAAATCGGGCAACGGTTACACACTTCAGACCATTTACCCGAGTCATAAGCGGGAGACTAAGTTTGAGTTGGGCGTTGAGTTTACCGAGACATTTCCGAATGGCCATACTTTACAAGTAATTATTTTATTAATTGCTATAATTAAATGAATAAATTATTATAATTATAAAGTATTAATAAAATTTTAATAATAAATTATTACAGTCAGTGTTCACCGCCGACGGTAATCGTCTCGTTAGGACCGGAAAGGGAGACAAACCGATGACTGTTGTGCACGAGTTGACCGGCAATGATCTCCGGGTGACCATGACTTCGGGTCCGGTTGTGGCCGTCCGTACCTATGCTAAACAGTAGCCGCTCTAAACCTTTTAGCCTCATATAATTAATGATTAAAATTTATAAAACACAATCTTATGTATAAGTAATTTTTGCAGGTTATAATAGTGAAAATCTTGTATTATTATTGTGCTATATGAAAATAAAAAATACTGTTTTAATACATTAATTTGGTTTACTATTGAATAATTATTAAAAATGATAATATTTCAAATAATCTTGGGAAACTAACTAAATATTATTGTATCATTGATATTTCAATAGTCGAAATATGAACATGTTGTGACATGTAATCTAAAGTAATAATTTATTCCTGACATGTTCAAAAAATTTAAATGTATAATACACACATTGTGATTTTGTGGTTTAAGTTTTATCACTTTATTAAATGTTGATTAAGATTATAATACAGTTAATTGTCTACCGGTATGTTTATCGTGTCATCTTTGCGTATACATTATAAGGTAAATATTTATATGCATTTTATTAGATTATAAAACCGGCGGATAAACTGTATTAAAACAGACAATTAATATTATTATTTTTAACAATAAAAACCTTTATATATTTTTTAAATATTTATTTGTAAATTTATTGTAATAATAGTAATTAATTATTATATAGTTCAATAGCTAAATATTTATAACTTTGAATAAATGATTGTAACAATTATGATAAAATTATTCTATCTACAGGTACTCTTAAAATAATAAAATATTTATAAATGTTTTTTATTAAAAAGCAAGTACATTAAACTATTTACTGTATACAATCAATGGTGAAAGTAATATTATTTTATTAAACTGATAAAATATTTATAAATAACAATTAACTGTTTATTATTTTATTTAATAGATTACAATGCAGATACAAGATTATAATGCATACATTTTCTACCTGTATATTTTTTAAACATTATTATTTTGACGCCTTTATATTGCATACATTTATTGCTATTTTATTTGCTTATAAAACCGGTGAGTAGACGGTATTGAGACACATTTTTATATTCATTTTACTTTGACTACATTGGATAAAATTTTTATTAAGGTGAATTATGGCTGATTTTACAGGAAAATACAAACAAACGTCGTCGGACAATCTGGAAGCCTTACTTAAACATCAAGGTATGTTTAAAAATTATACATGTCAATTTATAAACACAATATAATTTATTTCACTAAATAAATAAAAATAAAAATTATATCAACAATATTTCCGCAACTTTCCCCACACAAGGAGTTCCCGAGGATATTATCACTCGGGTTAAGACACAGACCCAAGAGCTGGTTATAACCAAAACGGGCAATGGTTACACCATTCAGACAATTAACCCTGCTCATACCCGGGAGGTTAAGTTTGAGCTAGGCGCCGAGTGTACCGAGACATTTCCCAATGGCCAGTCCATGAAGGTAATGTTAAATTAATACTATTAATGCGATGATAAAACTTTACCATTGTTTTAATTGATGGTGATTACAGTCGGTGTTTACTGCGGACGGCGATCGACTCGTTAGGACACAATCCGGTGATAAACCCATGACTACTGTATACGAGTTGACTGGGAGTCAACTCCGGGTGACGTCCACTTCGGGTCCGGTTGTGGCCGTCCGTACGTACGCTAAACAATAGGCTATTTGTATTCTTACATGTTATTTAAAGTTTACATATTGTCAACATTTGTAAACTAAATTTACATTTTTTAAATTACTTAAAAATATGTTTTATATTTAGTAAATAAAAAATTACTTTATTGCGATTTATTGTTTATCAATTATTTTAAGTAAATATTTAATTTTAATAATATTTTTAATGATTAATTAAAATTTATTTTATGGTGATGAAGCATTTTAATTGATCTAATTGTTTGACAATGTTTGTGCAACAAATACCAGATACAGTATAAAATTGATAATAAATAGTTTTTCTGTTAAGTCAATCATTTTTAGTTCATTCACAACGTAATGATTTTATATTTTGATAAACATTTAAACTTTGATTTAATAAAATTAAATATTTATACAATTTAATTTGAATTTTAAAATAAACACAAGCTATGCCAAAGTTACAATAAACATTTTCAAAATTCATGATTTACTGACATTGACAGATTAAACAGAATACTTATTAACAATGTTATTTACCTTATATTAAAATTATTAAACAATGCTAGAAAATATATATATTGATGCTACAACTATTTTTAATTTATGACGATTGAATTGATAAAAATTTAATATTTGTCTAAATTTAAAATAAATTACATGATGCATTTTTTAATGTGAATAAAACGGTGCATTAAAACATCTATCGTGTACTCAATGTATATGTAATTCTGTTTATTATCTGTAATTTTGGTGACAATTCAATGTATATATTAAATGATAAGTATTTATTGCCATAAAGTCTGGAACCTATCTCTGGTTATAAAACGGTGTGTAGACTGTGTTCATGAGATTATTATATTTTTATAAGTCTAATAAAATATTAATAATTTTTTTAAGCTAAACGATGACTGATTTTACAGGAAAATACAAACAAGTATCAGCTGATAACCTGGCTGCTTTGCTCAGACACCAAGGTAGTATAATTATTATTATATGATTTAATTATTATGATTATAATTAATTAGTCAACTTTAATAATTAAGTAACTTTTGCACTTAATGTAATACATAATAATCACTATTAATTGTTGCTAACAATTCCCTAATAATATTCCCGAAATAAACAGGAGTTCCCGAAGAGATGGTTGAGAAAATCGCCTCTGAAAAACGTGACCTAACTATTAGTAAATCGGGAAACACTTACACCTATCAGATAATTAGTCCCAATAATACCCGTGAGATCACGTTTGAATTGGGCACTGAGTTTACCGAGTCTTTCCCAAACGGCTGGAATGTCAAGGTACTTTTAAGATAATTTATATACATTGTTATTATTATGATTAATATAAATATGTACCGTGTTTTCGCGCGTTGTAGTCCGTGTTCACTGTCGACGGTAATCGACTTGTTAGGACCGTAAAGGGCGAGAAGGAGACTACGGTTGTGCACGAACTGAACGGCAATGAGCTCCGAGTGGTCAGCACTTCGGGTCCGGTAGTGGCCGTCCGTACGTACGCCCGGCAGTAATTACGGGTGGTTTTAGCTTTATGGTAGCTTTACATCTGTTTGTCAACAATATTTTTATAAATACTATAAAGAAAGTACAAAAGTACATTTTGTTAATTTACATCTATCTTTTATTTACTAATAAAACTATAAAATAAAATTAATAACACTATATGTTTAAAATGTATAAATAGTTATTATAATCATATACATCTAATATACTTCTAATCGCAGTAGGTTGTATAATGTATAACCCGTACACAATAACTTTATTGTATAGACATGAACTTGTAACTCTGGCAAATTAATTAATTATTAAGGCGTACGTGATAATTAAATAATAAAGCACAAAACTGACTAAACATGGTCATAAATTATATGCTATCATTTTAAAATATTACAATTACTCTACTATACATATAATAAGGAACTTTATTTTCAATATACTTAATGCACTAAATAAACATAAACATTTTACCTAAACATAAAGTACTCTAGTTGTACTAGTACACTTTATTGACCATCTTTTAGTGTAGTGTAAATGTAAACATATAATTGCCACTAATTGTATATAAACTACTCTTTCTTTACACGAAACTCATTATAATTAAATTATTAAGTTTATACCATTATAAAACTACACAAAATATAACCATATTTGCAATAACATGGCAGACTTTACTGGAAAATTCAAACTCACCTCGTCCGACAACTTTGATGCACTTCTCAGGCATCTAGGTTAGTACTCATAATTTATTAACAAGCTAATTCTAGTATATAATGTTAATTCTAGTAATTAAAACTAAAATATTTAATTGGTTAAAACATATAAAACAATGTACTATTAAACACTTGGTTATAATGATTGAAAGGCGTGGCCGAGGATTACATCAACAAAATCAAAGACCAGAGCCAGGAGTTGGAGATCACAAAATCTGGCAATGGATACAGCATTAAGACAACCACTGCCAGCGGGACTCGCGAGCAAAAATTTGAGCTTGGTAAAGAGTACACTGAAACATTCCCCAATGGGGGCTCAGCGCCGGTAAGTTATATTATTTACCATTTAATTAATTGTAATTATATTTATTAATTGTTTGCATTAATTGCTAGTCTCTGGTCGTCGCCGACGGGAATCGTCTCATTCAGACCCTGAAGACCGAGAAGGAGATGAAAATTGTCCGCGAATTCAATGGCAATGAACTGCGGGTGACGTCCACTTCGGGTCCGGTTGTGGCCGTCCGTACGTACGCCAGACAATAGCCGCTGTCGTGATATTTATTATGTGCTAAGTTATGATTTGTTCAATTATTTCTATCGAGTTAAATATTTTTAAAACATTGTGTATGATTAGTCTTTATGTAATGATTTAATACTATAAATGCTATTCATATGCATGGATATTTTATTAATATTTTAATTAAGTTGGAATAAATTTATAGAAATGAACCATGGTGATTGTTATTTGATTTTTATTTTGTTGAGTTATAATATAATTTAATAAAATAAATAATAATATAAACATATAATAATAGTTTTATTCAAAAACTTGTTTAAAAAAAACAATACAAAGGATTACAAAATTATTATTTTTATTTCGTATAAGTTTTGGTAATTAATTAAATAGTTTTATATAATTATTATATAAAACAAATTTTTTCTACTATTAAGACACGAATGTTCAGTATTTTACATAATATGTTTTGTGTATAATTTATTAAAAAATAAAATGATATTTTACAATAAATTCATTTAATTTCAATAGGTAAAATAAGGAGATGCTATTTATCTAGTTTAATTAAAATTAAACAAAATTTTAAAATCGTTTAATCGTAAAAAAATAACTAGTTAAAATGTTCAATACAATAGAGCACAATAATTGTTCAGTGACGCCAAAAGGAATTTAAAGTGGCATGTGCAATATAATATTCTAATATTAAAATGAAATTATATAATAATTGTCAAAACATTATTTAAGCTTGCGTTATTTATTGACACAACTATTATATATTAAGTCTGTTAATGTTGACTAATCTATTTAAAGATGTTTGCCATCATTGTTAATACTACACAAAGTTTACACGATTTACTGTTTACTTAATTTTTATGTGAAATTTTATGCATTTATAAAATTGAAATTAAAATTTTGATTATATATAATTAATTCACATAAAATCATAATAATATTCAGACAACATGGTAGATTTTACTGGCAAATACACGCTCACCTCGTCAGATAACTTCGAAGCCGTACTCGAGTATCGAGGTTAGTAATTGTTACCTTAAACTATGCTAATTATTGTTAGCCTAATTAATTTAAATTACATAAAACATATTAAAATGCTATAAATATATTGTCACGACTAAAGGCGCGCCCAAAGAGTTTATAGCGAATGTGAAAAACCAGAGCCAGGAGTTGGAGATCAGCAAAACGGGCGATGAATACAGCATGAAATCAATTACGGGTACCAATCAAGTACAGGAGTCCAAATATGTGCTAGGTCACGAGCACAGGGAAACAATGCCAGATGGTGGCACCCAGGCTGTATGTCGTTTACTAATATTTAATTATTAACTAATTATAAATTAATAACTAAATTAATGTCTAGTATAATATGTCTTAGTCTCTAGTGGTGTCCGACGGCCCCAACCGTCACATTCATACCGTAGGTGTCGGTGAAAAACAGTTGACAGCTGTGTATGAGTTAAATGATAACGAACTCCGGGTGACCATCACTGCGGGTCCGGTGGTTGCTGTCCGTACGTATGCCAAGCAGTAGTTTACGTTTATTTCAACCATGACAAATAATTATTTTTAACATTTATTAAGCTAGATTAATAACTAACTAGATTGACAATTTTTGTAAGTGTGTTTTTATTTGGTTTAATGTTTTTTGATTTAATTTTATTCAAAATGATATATATTTTTAATATTTTATTAATGCATTTTTATCATGATTGTTTATAATAAAATATATTATATGAACTAGATGTTATAATCAATTTGAATAATATATTTGTTTTAAAATAACCTTTTAATTTTATTTGCGTTGTATACGCTGTATAAAAAGTGAATAAACCACATAAATATAATCAAATATGAAATTGGTGTATTTATTGTCAAAATTTAATTTATAAATTACTTTTCTTAAATATAAAATTAAATGAATTGTATATATTTTAAATTTATGAATATAGAGTTAATTTAGTTATTATATTCAGAATAATTTTTATATTGGAGACTTTTTGTTGTTAAAAACTTTTTATGGTGATAATATCCAACATCAGTCACTACAAGGTAAGAGTTAACCACAATTCAGGTAGTAATCATACTTTATAATGATGAATGATTTGTAGCTTTTAACACCACAATCATTCAATTAATTAAACAATAAAAATAATCAATAGTATGCTAAAATTATAAATTAACTAAAAAGTCATTCAAACACTTTTGTTTGTGAATTTTCTCATTGAAAGCAAATTGAAAGTAACATTTATTCATTTAATATATATTATATTCACGTCATATACTTTACTATATTTAGCAAAATTATTAATTTATATAATATAACTTTTAAATCAGTTATAGATTACGTTTACAATCACTTTGGGGGCCGTTATTAAAAATGGACACAGACATGACAATGACAAGCGAACAAGCTGAACGCCGCGCAAAGTACCTAGCAAAATTTAGCTCACGTGGATTTGTTATAGATCAAGATGGCACGCTTGAAGTTGGTATAGGCAGGTCGTATGATTGGCTGCTGGCCATAAAAGATTTCACGGTTAGGCCGACAGACATATGGCTCTGCGGTTATCACAAATCGGGCAACACTTGGCTCTCGGAAATGGTGTCCCTAATAATGGCCGACGGAGTGGTCGATAGAGTCCGGGAGCGACCGATTGAGGAGAGAGTGCCCAATGTTTTTCTCAATTATGAGTTCAACAATCAATTGCAATGGTTTGAGTCAATACCGGTGCCCAGAATTATTAACAGTCATTTGCAGTACAAACTTATGCCCAGTTTTAAGTCCACAAATTGCAAAGTATGTATTCAGTTTGGTAACTCTTAAATGTTTATAAAGTTATAATGATTTTCACATAACTTTAATGAATTTGATTTAAAACTTTTGTTTTAAAAATTGAAACTTTATTTTAAATTATTATCACAAATAGTGCGAACACAAAATAGTGTGTATTTTAAAGTAAGTTTACATTTTGTATCGACTGTCTGTATGTGCTGTAAGTCTGGGACTTAAATAGATTGACAATTGGGTCACTTTGATTGTCCAGTATATTCTGGGAATGTGTGTACAGTATGTGTGTAACTGTCGGCAGTGTTTGTGTATAATATTCTGGTATTGAAAATAAAGTTAACTTATTCTAAATATAGCCTAAAATTCAAATGAATGAATTGCACAAATAATTGAAATATAAATTCTAGGTTTAATTGTACCTGTTTAATACTGGAGGGAGAGAAAGAGGGAGAGAGAGAGAGAGAGACAGAGAGGGAGAGGGAGAGAGAGGGAGAGAGATGGAAATACTCATTGAATAAACATGATAATAATAATGCCATTAACAGGTGATATACATCGTGCGTAACCCAAAGGACGTGTGCGTCTCGTACTATGAATATCACAAAATGATAAACTATTCGGACATTGAATGGCACAACTTTCAACGCCTGTTTCTCGACGGCCAGGTATTTAACGGCGATTGGTGTCAACACGTGAACGACTATTGGCTGAGTTATGGGTCGGGAAAACAGCCGAACGTACTGTTCGTGGCGTACGAAGAGTTGGTGGCAAACGCGGCGACAATGGTCCGCACGATCGCCCACTTTCTCGGCAAACAGTTTGCCGACAAAACGGTGGACACAATTGTCAGCCACTGTTCGCTGGACACAATGCGAGACAATCCGATGGCAAATAGGGCTGAGCTGTTGACCACTTGTGGGACTCCCGGCGCCCGCTTTGTCCGTAAGGGTGTTGTCGGCGATTGGCGTTCAAACATGACTGACGTAGAGTCGGCCCGTTTTGATAGACGCTATGCCCAGCGTTTGGCGGCGATTGGGCTCCGGGTGTGCGACGATATGGCCGACGCCCAGCGCTAGATGTCTACCGACGGGCGTATTATTCCCCAGTAATTAAAATACTAATGGTTTTGTTTTAATTGATATTTCTTTGTATTGGTTTTTAATTACTTATCTTGAATAGTGACCATGTCATTTAAATTTTTGTAGCGTTTTAAATATCTTGATTAATTAATATTTATCAATGCAAATCTAAACTTTGAAATCATTTAGAGTTCGAGCGTTTTGTATATTAATTAAAACAATTAAATCATTAATAAAACACTTTTGAATGAATCAAAACCGAATCAAATATTAATTGAGAGCACAAACGCTATCAATATTTCCAAACAAATGTTTTTCTTAATTATAGCATTGTTTGCGAAAACACAGAAACCAAAAACAAGAAACCGCTAAACACTTTCAGTCATTTGTTAATCAATTTATTGAGTTAATAATTATTTAATGAATTAATTAATTAACAAATGAGATTTAGGTTTAGATGCGTTGACAACATTTTGGGATAAACAAAACCAAATTACAAATTAATGACAACTGCTTTTAATCGACGAATCATACAAAATGACTGCGTTTTTGTGTCAATCGTCTCTCTTATGTTATTTTGTGAGGCGACGCTTTATTTACTGAAATGAGCGGACACTCCCAGTTTGCAGGTGTTTAGCACACGTTTTGGGTAATGTGTACAACCAGTTGAACAACCACTGAGATTAGACCGTTACACTATTGTCATTTTTAAATGATTCTTACTAAGCACAAATCCCAATTCAAAACAAATATTGCTTGATCCGGAAACGAGATCATATTTGCCCATCAACAGTTGGCTAATTGCTCGAAACAAGTCTTTAACATCGCAGGTAGGGAAGGGTAGCGAGTTTCTAACGTGTTGTATTGATTTCAGGCATTCTACAATGCCAGTAAAAAGTGTTTATTTACAATCAATTGGTCATAACGTCGCGCATGCGCTCTATCGACAAACAACAATAAAAGGATTGTATTGTTATTACAATATATTTGGTTTGGGTCAGCGCTAGTGTTCACGAAAGCGACTAACCAACAGATTTGTAGGTAGCATGTAATGTGACCGGGTAACCATTAAGAACCGATTAGACTTCAAAAAGCTCATTCATCAGATGTGTGTATAGAAATGGAATCATAGTGTTTGATATACACACATGTGATATACACACATATTGTGTGATCATCGCATGCACTCAACAAATAGTATACGTTGGGTTAGTTTTCAAATCAATGCAATTGTTGTCTCATTCATACCTCAAGTGCTCCCAACCATTAAACCGGTGATCAATTATAATAAGCGCAAAGCGAACGCAAACGCAATGGTGTGCAACCGATGCCTTCCATGCGCTTTTCATCGACGAGTCGTCGTGATTGGTCCAGAGTCCCCCTCCAGTCAAGAAATAGTGTTCCGACCATTAGAACGGGGCAAAGACAATAGGGAATAACCATTGGAAACTGTCTGCGAGAACTGCATAACCAAGAGTTGGCCCGAATTAAACTCATAGCTGCGGCTGACATGAGTTGTTATGCCATATAATATTGTTGGTCATGAAGGTGGCGATCACTGAATCGACGACCTATAGAAAATGGTGGCTTTTTCGTGTCAATCGCCTCTTATATGCTATTTTCTGACTCGACGCAGCAGAAAATCAAACCAACGAGTGAGTGTAAGTAAAAACTATTTATACACAATGAATGGTAAATAATAAATTTATTAAATGTTGACTGTGTTATACAGTGTGTTTGCGCTGATCATAACAATTACAATCCCTATTGCGTAAAAATTACACTGACACTCGTAACTGTGCTATGCATTGACACACATTACACAACTTACTGTACGGGTTATGCTCGCGTTATGTATGCTATTCTCTCTTTCTCTCTCGCTCTCTTGATATTACTCACGAGAGTAATGCTAGCCACGAGACACAAACCTCGGTTCATGACAACTATTGTTTGAACCGGAAAAGTGATCTTATTGCCTATCATACGTTGGCTAATTTATCGGAACAAGTTTTTAACATGGCCTCTATGGAAGAGTAGGATGTTTCCAAAGTGTTGCATTGATTGCTAGCATTCTACAATGCCATTCAAAAATGTTTATATACGATCAATTAATCATACCGTCGCGCTTGCGCTTTATCGAAAAATACTAAAGAAGGATTTTATTTTTATAACAATATGTGTGAATCAGCGATAGATGGATTGATGATGTATGGGTTCGTGGATTGAAATTGTTCTGGTTATGCCATCGCTCTATGTTATCTCTCGGTTATGTCGTCACATATGGTGTGCGACTTGTATATGGCGGCCAATACTATTATATGTCTACATGTCTAAACGTGAAGCCTGCCTATTACGGCCAACAATATGGCACATCTGGGACACATGACAAGAGAGAGAGAGAGAGAGAGAATAGCATACATAACGCGAGCATAACCCGTACAGTAAGTTGTGTAATGTGTGTCAATGCATAGCACAGTTACGAGTGTCAGTGTAATTTTTACGCAATAGGGATTACCAACGTATGATAGGCAATAAGATCACTTTTCCGGTTCAAACAATAGTTGTCATGAACCGAGGTTTGTGTCTCGTGGCTAGCATTACTCTCGTGAGTAATATCAAGAGAGCGAGAGAGAAAGAGAGAGAGAGAGAGAGAGAGAGAGAGAAAGAGAGATTGTATTGTTATTACAATCTGTTTGGCTTTGGGTCAGCGATGAGTCGGCTGAGGTATTATTTCAGTAATTGACTTTTTGACCGGTCATTCCAGCGCATTGTAGCGTCTATTATCGACGGAACACATCTATTCATTCAAATTCTCATTTAGACAAATATAATTTAAATCGTTGACAATAAGCTGTTGATTTATAAGATATTCAAAATCAAGTTGTCTATCAATTGATAGACACAACCATTGATACAATTGTTTGTCTTCGAGTGTTTGAATAAAAACATCGAGTGGTCAGACGTGACCTCCAATTCGATTCCGACATCTTCTCAACAATTGTTGTCTTCGAGTGAAACAATAATTAATTTGTTTGCGACTAAACTCTTGTCCCAATTCCCAGTCCTTTGCCGCCATCTCTATATACTTTTCCGTCCATTCATTTTAGCGATTGCCCGACGAATAGGTCATAAATACTTCATTCTTTGGGTGTCATATTAGACTCTCAAAATTTTGACTGAAGACTGAGACAATTATGACGTGAATTCAAGAGCGGACACGAATTTTTAGAATCGTTGCTATTGGGTCTCATTTGCCATTTAATCGGAGTCAATCTTCTTTAGGCTTTGTTTTAGGCGTAAGTCTCGGTCCGAGGGTTTACTTTCCTTATTGACTACTTTTAATAATACTATTGTGACAATCAATTGATGCGATAATTCATTGAATTTATGCAGGCTTTGTCGGCAACTGAGACACCGATTCTGTTCCCTATTCTTAAGGGAAACGTCTGTTTTACGATTCCTTTGGTTTGTCCGCCAATTCTCTCGTTGAAATCAAATTCAAGTGAATTCCCATAAATTCCGGTATTTTAATGAAATTGATGTCACTTTCAATGAGTTCTTCACTTTGAGAACCGATGACAACATATTTGTCGTATTTTAAGCTCTGCTTTTCGCTAAAATCTTTGATGATAAGCAATGGCTTATACTTTAGACCTAATGTGTTGTTGCAATTATAAGCACAATTCAATGCATTCAAACATACATTGCTTTTTGGACTCAAGTTATTGACTTTTGAATCCATTCTATTTCTACTTATATTTTAATGAACTGATGATTTGTGTTTAAATATAATATAAAATATTTTAAGATTAGTTTGTGCCACAGATTTGTTCATGTGTATTGAATTAATGTTAAGATTATTTGTGACGCAAAATGAATGATGTGTTTATTTTTCACTAAAATACAAAAACCAATTGTTGACAAGTTGACGGTTTATAAGATTAAGTGTTTGATAGGAATTCCTGATCCGTCAACTCCTCGGCTTACAATATATGATCACCGGTTGATTGGCTATTATTGTAATCAATGTTTCCATTGATGTTCAGTTTGTTATCAATCATTAATCGTTACTTTCTTATTTGTGGTAATAAATTAAATTTTTACAATCATGAAAATAATTTTAATAAATAAATTTACCATGCTACTTTTTAAAAATTGTTTGCTATCGGTCACTTATTGATTGGTTTGTTTATCAAAATAATCGATGGCCTGTCTGTCCATCGGATCCAGGCGTAAGAAGCGTGCGATCGGCTGCAGAAGTATTGACAGTATATAACAGAGTCTGGAATCAGACGGATAACAATAGCTGGTCATTCATTAAACATTTTGGTTAATTTTACATGAGTAGTTTATGTCAAATTATTGAAATTATCATGTTTTATCAAACGTTGTTTATAATGTGTTGAAATGAACTGGCAGTTATTTCAGCATCGGTTAACGGCCGGCATATAAAGCGAGTCTTCTCTCTCATACGTGACATCAGTAGTAGTTTCGCATTAGAAATATATTTGACTGATTCGGTTGATTTGCACATTACACAAAACACAGTTGGCAAAACTTTTCACTCACTTTTATATTTGTATAACATTTCATATAATACGTTACTATAATCATATGGGAGTAATAATAATTTTAAAGTAATAACAATACATTTATTATGACAACATATTGGGGCAAATTTTACACACAAAATATCAAATTATTGATTAGTTATATAAATGATATTTTTCGAGAATATTGAAATTGAAAAAATAGTTACTGTAATAGTATGTTTCAATATAAATGTTAATAATTAATTAATATTATTACTATTATTATTGCTATTTAATAATTGTATTCAATATTAATAATAATATTGTTTGACAAATTAACTTGGTGATAATAGTTAAATAGCGCATTACTTCACAGAAAAGTACGCAATACATTTCTATTCATATACAACGTTAAAATGTTATTTAAATTTTCTTTACAATATTTTATTTTAATTTAATTACTAA